TGTGTGTGTAAATTAAGGTTTAAAAATACATGTTAAATAAGTATATGAGCAGAATTAAGTGGTAACAATACGAGAGTTTGTAAACCTGAATATTTCAGGAAGTATTATAATAGACCTTGTTAAGAATGGTTACTAAGATGCGTCTCAAGAGTCACTTTAACAAAAGAACTCCTTTACTCTGCCATCCTAGTAACAACAATTATGCACATGCTTTATGAAATGAAAAACAATTTTTTTTTTATCAACTACTACCCTCTCCCCCCAACCAAAACGAGACATTGTCCTCAATGTTCTAAGGTAGAAAGATAGAGTATAGAAGATATCACCTGAAATAACGAACACTGACAAACCTGAAACACACTGAAACAAATATAAGAAACAACAAAACACAATAATAAAACCAAGCATGTGTATGTACAGGTAGTTGTGATTGTGGCTCACATCTTCCCTTGGTTTTACGTCCAAGAACGGCTTAAACGCCCTCTATGGGTCGGGGATAGGCTTCCCATCCAGTTTTCTTAAAAACTGGCAAACAGGGTCTTTTTTAGTCAGATTCCCAAGACTAAGTCTATCATGTTCTTTATGAAATAGTGGCCATAAATCATGAATTGCACGATGCACATCTCCACTAGGATGCGTCTCAAGAGTCAATAGAAGATTATCTAAAGACTCCTTACTCAGGCCATCCTTAATGAATTGTATTTTATCTTCACGGTTTATAGATACCATTCCTAAAGAACGACATTGTGTATTACAAGTCCATCTAGCACATCGATGACAGACATCCAGTCGTTTTGCACGACGCTTCTTTGCAAAAGTGCTTTTACCTGTTCCAGGCATGTGTGAAATGAAGTTAGAGGACTCACCTGATAATCGGACCTTTGCTTCAATCAACCAACGAATATCTTCAGGAATTCCATGATTCATTAATAATCTCAATCTTGCACATCTAGCACGGTAAATTTTTGTAATCGCATTCTGAGGCAGAGCGGGAAAATTCTTTTTCAATTTTTCAAGATTAGTGTCCATTTTCAAATGAGAATTGGAAGAGAGATTCAAAGAATTGCACAGATATATACACAGATATCAGTAATTGTGGGAAACTGAAAGAACCGACTTAAGTCACGGAGTACCGTTATCCGCCATTTGACCGGGGTGAAGAAACTTGCAAAAATCACTCAAAAAGAAACAAAAATAAAATAAAATAAAATCAATATTTATATAAGAAACAAAAATAAAGTAAAATAAAATAAAATCAATCTTTATATACAGGATCACCCAATTCAATAGAGTTATGTTCAACTGAAAAATTGTCAAAGTAAACTTTCAGACGATGTCCATTTACCTTGAAAACATTGTCATTCTTTGGATTCTCGATATCACAGGCCCCATATGGATACACATGTTTCACTATAAAAGGATCGCTCCATCTTGATCTTAGTTTTCCAAGAAATAAATGTAGTCGAGAATTATAAAGCAAGACTTTTTGACCAACATTGAATGTTTTTCTTAGAATATTCTTGTCATGAAACTATTTGATTCTTGCTTTATGAATTCTTGAATTTTCATATGCATCATTTCTTATTTCCTCAAGCTCATTTATTTGTAATTTTTGCAGTTGACTAGCATCATCCAGATTTGAATTGAAAGCTTTAATAGCCCAATAAACTTTATGTTCAAGTTCTACAGGCAAGTGACAAGGTTTTCTATAGACTAGTCTATAAGGTGACATACCTAATGATGCTTTATAAGCAGTTCGATAAGCCCAAAGTGCATCATTAAGTCTTAAAGACCAATCTTTCATATTAGGGTTCATTGTTTTCTCCAAAATATATTTGATCTCCCTCTTAGCAAGCTCTACTTTCCACTTGTTTGAGGGTGATAAGGGGTGGCAACTTTGTGTGTGATTCCATATTTCTTCATTAAAGATTCGAATGGTTTGTTGCAGAAATGTGTTCCACCATCACTTATTATGGCTCGAGGGATTCCAAATCGACTCAAAATATTTTCTTTCAAAAACTTTATCACTGTTTTGTGATCATTGTTTCGATTTTGAATTGCCTCTATCTATTTTGAAACATAATCTACTGCAACTAATATGTACAAGAAACCAAATGATGGAGGAAATGGACCCATGAAATCTATACCCCAACAGTCAAAGATCTCAATGACAAGAATAGGATTTAAAGGCATCATGTGACATTTTGAAATTGATCCCAACTTTTGACAATTTTCATAAGACTTGCAGAATGCATACGAGTCTTTGAACATGGTGGGCCAATAAAATCCACTTTGTAAGATTTTTGTAGTTGTCTTTCTTGATAAGAAATGGCCCCCACATGCCTCAGAATGACAAAATTTAATGACACTACTTACCTCATTGTCAGGAATACATCTTTAAAATATTTGATCAGGATAATATTTGAATAAATAAGGGTCATCCCAATAAAAGTTCTTCACTTCGTTCAATGATTGTGCATCAAAAGTGTCATTAAGTCTCTTATTTTACATGTGTATTTATTGTTTTTATTTGGTTTTTTTTATAATAATTGATGTGCTTTTTAGTAATGAAATTTGTTTTAATGTTTCGATAGGTTTTTGGAGCTTAAATGAATTAATTCATAAAATTCAACGTCGAAATTCAGAACAAAGAATTGAAGAGACATTTAGTTGAAGATTGAAGCAAATCTTGGTTCAAATAAGTGCTCCAAATTTGTCCCAAAAATCAATTATATTTCAATTCTAGAAAACAATATCATATGATCTATTTCAAGCCCAAACTTGTCTTATGTTGTATGCAAACTTCAACCATTAAACACTTAAGGTTTCAATGTCAATCTTAGCCCAAATAATAGGTACATTTGTATCCTTATTTGATGCTTAAATTCAGCCCCAAATCAACCTTCAAATCAGCCCAAGCACAATTCATGATCTTACATGTCCACAAAACAAATAACAATTGATTTATTTGGGTAATCCATTGATCCAATAAGGCAAACACATGGATGGAAAGCTGGAGGGGACATTGTTACATTATTTTGGGTCAAAAATCAGAAAGAGACAGCTCATAAATGAGGAAGAAAAACATGCACCAAAGTGGTTGCAAAGCTGACCTGATTTGATTTTTCAGAATACCTTTCGGTGTTTTGTCCATAACTTTTGACTCAGGTTTCCAAATAAGCTTTTCTTTAATGATCTGGAAAGGTGAAAAAATTTTCTATAAATATGTCTCTAATAGACATCTCAAAAAAAAGCTTCTAGGAGGGTCTAAATTGCTGTCCAAAGTTAGCATCAGATTTGTATCCGAATTTTTACTGAAATTGTGTTGTTTTCTTCTTTATAGATTTTGGTTCTTTAGCTTGTAAAACTTATTATTTCAGTTTGGTTCAAGTTATTTCATGTTTATTGAAGTGTTCTTATATAATCATGGTTGGCTAATCTCTTTCTTGGATCCAAATCAAGGATGATGGTGGTTGAGGTGAGTTCTTTAAGATATGAATGAATCTTAATGTTTATCTTCTCATTTTCTTCATGAATGATTTATTATTGCAAAGAAATTTTAGAAACCATTTAGGTAATGTTATAATCTTGAATTTTTATGCACAAACTTTAGTTTTGGTATAGAGATTGCTGGATTTAATGTCTTACTTAATATGAAAGTACTTATTCATTCTTAAGCAATAATCAATCTTCATCCTTTTAAACTTCATTGTAATATCTTCCGATCTAATATCACCATCATTGATATTAGATTGAGTTATCTTATATATGTTCCGATCTAATATCACCATCATTGATATTAGGTTGAGTTATGTTATATATCTTGAAGGAATCACCAATACATCACCATTAAAATTGATTTGGACCAAGACTTATGTTTTCTTATCATTTAAAATCTATTTACACATCTTCGTCTTTGAAAACAAATCCATCAATTATTTTCAACCAAGTTATTATTAATTTAATTTCTCTTGAGTTTTTTTTTTGTTACCTAGCTTATTTTCTAGATCTAGCTCTCTATGGATATGACCTTAATCTTACCGAGTTAATTGCTACATCACACACTTGTGCACTTGCAAGTTAAAACAAGTCGATCATAAAAAGCGGTCAAGCATTCAAGAACTTTCTTTTATCTTGAGTACTCCAATGAGCTGACAATTGTCCTGAAACAAAAAAATTGACAATATTAGCAAACCAAGGCATTGTAGAGACAGAAAGTAAAGATTTATCGGGAAGGTAGTCATCGATTTGTATAATGTCAGTTTTTGAATCTGTTGTCAATCTTGACAAGTGATCTGCGACAACATTTTTGTTGCCTTTCTTATCTTTGATAGTGATCAAATTCTTGAAGTAACAAAATCCAATGCACCAATCTAGCCTTAGAATCTTTATTAGAAAGAAGATATTTTAATGTTGCATGATCACTGAAAACAATAACAGGTGAGCCAACAAGATAAGCCCTGGATTTTTCACATGCAAATACTACTACAAGTAATTCTTTTTCAGCGGTGGTATAATTCATTTGAGCACTATTTAAAGTTTTACTTGCATAGTAAATCACATAAGATTTCTTATCTTTTCTTTGTCCTAAAACAGCACCTACGACATAATCACTAGCATCACACATGATTTCAAGAGGTAATGACCAATCAGGAGGTTGAATGACAGGAGCACAAGTAAGCAAGTTTTTAAGTTTAACAAAGGCTTTTTCACAATGTTCAGTTCATTCAAAAATATTATCCTTTATTAGAAGGTTACTTAAGGGCTTAGATATTATGCTAAAATCTTTGATAAACCTTCTATAAAAACTAGCATGTCCTAGGAATGATCTAACATCTTTAATAGATTTTGGTGTTGGCAAGTTCACAATTAACTCGATTTTAGATTTGTCAACCTCAATTCATTTTGATGAAACAATGTGACCAAGTACAATGCCGTTTGTTACCATAAAGTGACATTTTTTCCAATTCAGTATAAGATTCTTCTCTTCACACCTGCTCAAAACATTTTCTAAGTTAGTCAAACAATCATCAAATGAATCGCCAAAAATAGAAAAACCATCCATAAAAATCTTAAGAAAATGTTTGACACGACTAAAAGATTGATGTATTCTCCCAAGTGCAGGAGTGTCGAAGTAATAAATAACCCGGCAAGACCGGGGTCGAACCACAAGGAGGTTAATTGTACAAATTATAAATAACAATAATACAACAACAATAACAATAACAATAATAATAATAATAGTAATAATAGTAATACTAATACTACTACTACTACTACTAATAATAATAATAATAATAATAATAGTAGTAGTAGTAGTAGTAGTAGTAATAATAATAATAATAATAAAGAAAGAGAAGAAGAAGAAGATGATGAGAACTTGGAGGTGGAAAATTAATGTAAGGATTAAACAATAATAATAACAAATGTCAAGGTTAGAGGTTCCACTAATGGTATATCAAACAAGTATAATATAAACTCTTATTAACTAATGGTATATCAAACAAGTATAGTATAAACTCTTATTAGTGAATTGGAAACCACACACAAAGGAGGTTCCAATCAGATTATATATTGTTAACATGATTACATTAGTTATCTTATTCAATTAATGCTAATACTTATAAATCTCGTCAAGCATTCATGATTATAACTTATGTTAACAACAAATCAAGTTCCTTTCATAGCTCAAGTGTCGGTTACACCATATAGTATGGGCTATAAAAGTTCCAAGCATTTATTGTACCAAGTGTTATACAACATAAATCAAGATTAGTCATTTAACAAGCAAAGTATTAAAGAGTGAACAAGATAACAAATATAAAACATGTTAGTATCAAACATTAAAGTCCATATTAAGTTTACACTCTTTAATACTTTGCTTGTTAAATGACTAATCTTGATTTATGTTGTATAACACTTGGCACAACTATACTTATTCTTACACCATTAGTGTAACCTTTTCACCTTGACATAATAAACTTAGCTAGACATAATGAAAGAAAGAAAAATAAATAAACAAAATAAGAACATAAATAAGATAAAAGTTAACTAAGTAAATGAAAGGAAATGAAAGGAATAAACTTGATATTAATGAAAGCAAAGCATAAACATTACAATAAATACAAAGGGAGAAAGCAAGAGCATGATCTTGATCTAAAAACCAAGATGCCTAAATGCATGGCAAATGCCTCCTTTTATAGGCCAAAATTGAAAACTATTAATTTGATGACTAATTGATGAGTGGGTCACCAACTCTTGACTTGGTGACAATCCTTATCTTCTCTTGTCTGCCCAACAAGGCATTGCTAACATCAAAATTGGAACCACTTGAAAACATGAAAGTTGTAGGCAATTATCTCAGCTGTCGTGTGTAAAAACTTCAGATCATTTGGACTTCTAGAACTCTAGATATGGTCTAAACACTGAACAGTGGTCGAGTTGGAAGACAGATTCGGACTTCTTTGTTGTTGCTCCAGTTTGGACTTGAAAATGGCATTTTTAGATCTTGGACTCCATATAAAAGTTGTAGGCCTATGTCTTACCTTTCCATCCATCTAAAGTAGACCTAAATATGAGATCTACAGCTCTAGATATGACCCAATTACCAAATAGTGTTCTGATTTGGATTGCACCAACATCTCTTTTCAAAGTTTGGCCATCTCTTTGTCCTTTCAATTTCAGTTCTTAAATTCATCGGTCAATCCTTTTATTTATGTGATAGGCGTGCATTTAAAATGAATATTTACCACAAATTAAAGGTATCTTATATTATTATATACGTTATTATAAAACACGCTTTAGTTAAGGAGTTATTGATACTTTATGTGCAAAATGATGATATAAAACCTTGATAAAAATGCACTTTTAAGTACTAATCACATACAGTATGGGCTATGAAAGTGCCAAGCATTTGTTGTACTAAGTGTTATACAACATAAATCAAGATTAGTCATTTAACAAGCAAAGTATTAAAGAGTTAACAAGATAACAAATACAAAACATGTTAGTATCAAACATTAAAGTCTATATTAAGTTTACACTATACTTATTCTTACACCATTAATGTAACATTTTCACCTTGACATAATAAACTTAGCTAAACATAATGAATGAAAGAAAAATAAATAAACAAAATAAGAACATAAATAACATAAAAGTTAACTAAGTAAAGGAAAGGAAATGAAAGGCATAAACTTGATATTAATGAAAGCAAAACATAAGCAATACAAAAATATAAAGAGAGAAATAAAAAGCATGATCTTTATCTAGAGACTAAGATGTCTAAATGCTTGGCAAATGCCTCCTTTTATAGGACAAAATTGGAAACTATTGATTTGATGACTTAAAACAAATCATAATAAACCTTCATTTTGTGCTCAATATATCAACACATAGTTATAGTGCTTTACTTGAAAGAAAACAAAATCCATGTTCTAATGTTTAAGGTTAACTTCCTTGGGTTGGGATTTTTTTCTTTTTCTTTTTATAATATATATACATATAACTTCAAACATCATGCATCTTTAACCCATGTAATGAGCTTTCGGCTAATGACTCCCAAACCAGTTCGTCTTAGGGCATTAGGTGTTGAATACCCATGCGAGCTTAGTAACTCGGGTTGCTGATACTGATACATAAATAGTGCAATGTTTGATTTCCTTAAGCTTTTCTCCTCAACTCATGTAACAAATGTTGGTCCAATAGCTCCTAAGTCAGTTGACTTTAGGGTATTAGGTGTTAAAACACCCCTTCGGGCTTAATTGCTTAGGTTAGGGAGGCTATGAAACCAAACTTACCTATATTTTAATTATTATCATTTTTTTTCTTTTTTCTTTTTTTTTTCAGATTATATATTATCCCTTTCTCTTAGTTGTTACCTTTAACAAAAAACATAAATAATGTAATAATCCAATGTGCAACCCACAATCATATATTAAAGTGTGTGTGTGAAAATTAAGGTTTAAGAATACATGTTAAATGAGTATATGAGCAGAATTAAGTGATAAGGATGCGAGAGTTTGTAAACCTGAATATTTCAAGAAATATTATAATAGACCTTGTTAAGAATGGTTACTAAGATGCGTCTCAAGAGTCATTTTAACAAAAGTGCTCTTTTACTCTACCATCCTAGTAACAACAATTTTGCACAAGTTTTATGAAATGAAAAACATAGTTATTTAAATTTTTTTTTCAACTACTACCCCCTCCCCCCAACCAAAACGAGACATTGTCCTCAATGTCCTAAAGTATTCTAGCACCTTAATGTTTTGTATTTGTTATCTTGTTCACTCTTTAATACTTTACTTGTTAAATGACTAATCTAGATTGATGTTGTATAACACTTGGTACAACAAATACTTGGCACTCTCGTAGCTCATACTATATGGTATAACCGACACCTGAGCGATGAAAAGAACTTGATTTGTTGTTAACATAAGTTATTATCATGAATGCCTGACGAGATTTACAAGTATTAACATTAATCGAATAAGATAACTAATGTGATCATGTTAACAATTTATAATCTGATTGGAACCTCCTTTGTGTGTCGTTTCCAATTGAATAATAAGAGTTTATAATATATTTGTTTGACATACCATTAGTAGATCATCTAACATTGACATTTGTTATTATCATTGTTTAATCCTTACATTAATATTTCATCTCAAAGTTCTCATCTTCTTCTTCTTTTTCTTTATTATTATTATTATTATTATTATTATTATTATTATTATTGGTATTACTACTAATATTATTATTGTTATTGTTGTTGTTGTATTATTATTATCTATAATTTATACAATTAACCTCCCTATGGTTCGACCCGGGTCTTGTCGGGTTATTTATTACTTGTCACAATATTTACAAGTATTAGCATTAATCGAATAAGATAACTAATGTAATCATGTTAACAACTTATAATCCGATTGGAACCTACTTTGTGTGTGGTTTCCAATTGAGTAATAAAAAAGAGTTTATACTTTACTTATTTGAAATACTATTAGTGGATTTTATAACCTTAACAATTATTTTATCCTTATTTAATCCTTACATTAACCTTACATCTTAAAGTCTTCATCAACTCATCATCATCATCATCATCAATTTATATAGTTAACCTTCCTATGGTTCGACCCTGGTTTTGTCGGGTTATTTATTACTTTGACACTTCTACACTTGAGAGAAGACATCAATCTTTAAGTCGTGTCAGGTATTTATTTTTGTTACTCAAATTCGACCTGATCAGGTTTTGAAAATCCATTGGGTTTCTATAATTTGATTAGTATATACATTAAAAACAAATAAGCATGGTGCATGGCATATTGTTTTTGTTTTGTAGGATTAAGGCAACTAAACACTTAAAAGTGGGGTGAGTTATGTGTATCATTAAATTTGATAATTAATGCAAATTACTTGAAGTAAACACAATAACCAACAATATAATTAAAGTACTTAAAGTTAAGAGATAAGAGAAAGAATTTGTGAAATTGTTTTTCATGTGATTTGGCAAGTCTACATCCACACCTCAAGTACCAAACCACATTTGATTATTGTATTCCTTCACTAGTCCAAGTTTAAGAGTATTATAACCAATTGATGAATCCACACCAAGCTTTATATTCCATTTGAAGAAATGCTCTCTTCAAGTTTTTTTCTTTGCTGAAATTTCCTCACCAATACCAAGACTTTTTACTAACTCTTAAAGGCCTATACAAATGATTTTATTTTTCTTAACTACTCATTTAGTATAATGGATAATACAATTTAAGTTCTAATATCTTTATAACTCATAAGATAGCATTTATAGAATTTGAAGGTATTTAAGTGTTACGCAAATGAGATTGAATATTCTTGTGCTAGAATATGAAGGTTTAATATCACAAACATTAAAGTCCATATTAATTCACACTATACTTATTCTTACACCATTAGTGTAACCTTTTCACCTTGACATAATAAACTTAACTAAACTTAATGAAAGAAAGAAAAATAAATAAATAAAATAAGAACATAAATAAGATAAAAGTTAACTAAGTAAATGAAAGGAATAAACTTGATATTAATGAAAGCAAAGCATAAACATTACAAACAATACAAAGAGAGAAAGCAAGAGCATGATCTTGATCTGGAAACCAAGATGCCTAAATGCATGGAAAATGCCTCCTTTTATAGGCCAAAATTGGAAACTATTTATTTGATGACTAATTGATGAGTGGGTGACCAACTCTTGACTTGGTGACAATCCTTGTCTTCTCTTGTCTACCCAAAACATCATTGATAACGTCAAAATTAGAACCACTTGAAAACATGAAAGTTGTAAGCAATTGTCTCAACTGTCTTCTATAAAACATTCAGATCATTTGGACTTCTAGAACTCCAGATATGGGTCAAATACTAAACAGTGCTCGGGTTGGAGGATAGATTTCGACTTCTTTGTTGTTGCTACAATTTGGATTTGAAAATGGCCTTTTTAAGTCTTGGGATCATATAAAAGTTGTAGGCCTATGTCTTACCTTTCCATCCATATAAAGTAGACCTAAATTTAAGATCTACAACTCCAGATATGACCCAATTACCGAATAGTGTTCCGATTTGGACTACACCGGCACCTCTTTTCTAAGTTTGGCCATCTCTTTGTCCTTTCAATTTCTGTTCTTAAATTTATCAATCAATCCTTTTATTTATGTGATAGGCCTTCATTTAAAATAAATATTTACCATAAATTAAAGGTATCTTATATTATTAGATATGTTATTATAAAACATGTTTTAGTTAAGGAGTTGTTGATACTTCAAGTGCAAAATGAAGATATAAAACCTTGATAAAAAATGTACTTTTAAGTATTGATCACACCGCAACCAGCTTATTACTAGTCTCTAGTAATCAAATCATTAAAATAGAAAAATAATTTGTAAATTCCACAAAGCAAGGTATTCATTATTCAACTTCTATTAATGTATCCAGATAAACAAACACTCATTAAATTTATATATTTGCTTAATACCTCTTAAATAAAATATTAATAAACCTTTCTTTTGTGCTTAATATATCAACACATAGTTATGGGTCTTTACTTGGAAGAAAACAAAATTCTTGTTCTAATGTTTAAGGTTAACTTCCTTAGGTTGGGATTTTTTCTTCTTCTTTTTTTTTAAAAATATATATACATGTAACTTAAAACACAATGCATCTTTAACCCATGTAACGAGCTTTTGGCTAATGACTCCTAAACCAGTTGGTCTTAGGGCATTAGATGTTGAGACACCCCTACGAGCTTAGTAACTCGGGTTGTAGATACTGATACGTAGACAGTGCAATGTTTAATTCCCTTAAGCTTTTCTCCTTAACCCATGTAATAAGCATTGGGCCAATAGCTCCCAAGTCAGTTAACTTTAGAGTATTAGGTGTTAAAACACCCCTTCGGGCTTAATTGCTTAGGTTAGGGAGGCTACGAAACCAAACTTATCTACATTTTTATTATCATCATTTTTTCTTTTTTTTCTTTTTTTTCTTTTTTTTCATGTTTTGTTTTCTTAATTATATACAATCCCTTTCCCTTAGTTGTTACCTTTAACAAAAGAACATAAATAATGTAATAATCCAATATGCAACCCACAATCATATGTTAAAGTGTGTGTGTGTAAATTAAGGTTTAAGAATACATGTTAAATAAGTATGTGAGCAGAATTAAGTGATAAAAATGCGAGAGTTTGTAAATCTGAATATTTCAAGAAGTATTATAATAGACCTTGTTAAGAATGGTTACTAAGATGCGTCTCAAGAGTCACTTTAACAAAAGAGCTTCTTTACTCTGCCATCCTAATGACAACAATTTTGCACATGCTTTATGAAATAGAAAACACAGTTAGTTAATTTATTTATTTTTGAAAGCTATTACCCTCTCCCCTCAACCAAAATAAGACATTATCCTCAATGTCCTAAAGTAGAAAGATAGAATATAGAAGACATCACTTGAAATAACAAACACTGACAAACCTGAAACACACTTAAACAAATATAAAAAACAACAAAACATAATAATAAAAGCAAAAGATATAAAGATTCATAAATGAAGACTCAAATATAATCTAAGCTTTTTACGGCTTTTCTTAGATGATCAATTTATACGACTCATGGAGGGAACAATTACAGGAATGAAAAATTATAGTTGGTCAATCAATTGTTCAGCAGTAGCAACAGAGATTATGATTTTTCATACAAAAGATGTTAAGAAATTTCTGTTCCACAACATGATTAAGAAAAGACAACTTATCATAATAACCATTAACATTTAACAGACCTATGGGTTTATGGTGAATGTGTAGTTAGGCCCAAGAGGAAATATAAAAGATCTCTTCTAATATACCTAGAACACCTAGTAAGGCAATAAAGGCATCAGCATGGTTAAACATTGCATTCATTCGAGCAAACATTATAGACACTTGTAGTTCGTCCCTAATTGTTTTTCCAATGATGTCCCCTTATGCTAAAGCTTCGGGGACGACCCTCAAAACTTGACTACCTCCTAAAAATGTAGTTATTGACACACCTCCCATTAGCACCTGACCAAGATGATTTGCTAATTCTAAATACCCTTTTTCTTTTCCAGGACTAGATCCACCGAAAACACAAATATTTCTTATGTGATGACTTGAGGAACTTTCCATTTTTACACACTTCTATATTTGTTGAATGTATAAGTTAAGTAGAAATGAAACGAAGGACGAGGGCATTTTATAGATGAGAAATTAAAAAAAGCTATCATACCACCTATATGTAGGCTAACTGAAGTTTCACTGATTAGTACTTAAAAATGCATTTTTATCAAGGTTTTATGTCATCATTTTGCACTTGAACTATCAATAACTCATTAATTAATGCATGTTTTATAATAATATATCTAATAATATAAGATACCTTAAATTTGTGGTAAATGTTCATTTTAAAAAGGCCATTTTCAAGTCCAAATTGTAGCAACAACAAAGAAATCCGAATCCATCTTCCAGCCAGAGTACTATTCAGTGTTTAACCCATATCTAGAGTTCTAGAAGTCCAAATGAGCTGAAGTTTTTACACAAGAAAGCTGAGACAATTTCCTACAACTTTCACGTTTTCAAGTGGCTCTAAATTTGACGTTATCAATGATGTTTTGGGCAGACAAGAGAAGATAAAGATTATCTTCAAGTCAAGAGTTGGTCACCTACTCATTAATTAGTCATCAAAACAATAGTTCCCAATTTTGGCCTATAAAAGGAGACATTTGCCATGCATTTAGACATCTTGGTTTTGAGATCAAGATCATGCTCTTGCTTTCTCTCTTTGTATTCTTTGTAATGTTTATGCTTTGCTTTCATTAATATCAAGTTTATGCCTTTCATTTCCTTTCTTTTACTTAGTTAACTTTTATCATATTTATGTTCTTATTTTGTTTATTTATTTTTCTTTCTTTCATAATGTCTAGCTAAATTTATTATGCAAGGTGAAAAGGTTACACTAATGGTGTAAGAATAAGTATAGTGTAAACTTAATATGGACTTTAATGTTTAATACTAACATGTTTTGTATTTGTTATCTTATCCACTCTTTAATACTTTGCTTCTTAAATAACTAATCTTGATTTATGTTGTATAACACTTGGTACAATAAATGCTTGGTACTTTCATAGCCCATACTGTATGGTATAACCGACACCTGAGCTATGAAAGGAACTTGATTTGTTGTTAACATAAGTTATAATCATGAATACTTGATGAGATTTACAAGCATTAGCATTAATTGAATAAGATAACTAGTGTAATCATGTTAACAATCTATAATCTGATTGGAACCTCCTTTGTGTGTGGTTTCCAATTGAATAATAAGAGTTTATACTATACTTGTTTGACATACCATTAGTGGATCCTCTAACCTTAACATTGTTTGTTATCATTTTTTAATCCTTACGTTAATTTTTCATCTCAAAGTTCTCATCAACTTTTCTTCTTCTTATTCTTCTTATTCTTTTTCTTTATTATTATTATTATTATTATTATTATTATTATTATTATTATTATTACTACTACTACTACTACGACTACTACTACTAGTATTATTAGTATTATTATTGCTACTATTATTATTGTTGATGTTATTGTCACTATTGTTGTTGTTATTGTTACTATTGTTGTTGTTTATAATTTGTACAATTAACCTCC